CTCCTGCCAACCTTCCATATTAGAAGACGGGTTTGGTTACTCTGTCTGGTCAACCACAAAGGAATTCCTCCCGCCCACGAAAATAATTTCTGATTCTGTAGCCGTCGTCAACCGGTTATACGCCAACTCCTGCAGATCAGCTGGTCATCGAGCGCTCAAATCACGCGCCCAGGTCCTGTCGACGGGTAAACTTCACCGGTACTGATTTCTCTTAACCGCCTCCAAGCGTTCTAGACCACAGCCCCTCCCCCCCCACACCAGCACCGAGCGTCCGTGCACTTTCGCCATGGTCTCAGGGGACCTGCTGGGTGATTCTAACTTCTCGGCGGCTTAGTTGAATGCTGCTTTGGGTTTATACGCGTCTGCGTTGCTGCCTAAGCCAAGTGCGTCGCTACAACTTACTGAGAGTCTGCACATATCTGAGCAGAAAAAGGTGGCAAACGTTCAGTCATCTGGGGACTAAACCAGACAAGAGCAAAAGCCACCCAGACTATGCCCACCATTGCTTTCCTTTCCGCCACCACGATTTCGGTGAGTCACTTGGAAAAAAAGCTGCCTCGGTGCAGGGCATAGGAGCGTCTGGAGAGTAAATTTTCCAGACAGCTGAGTCACGGAACAGAAGACGGAGCGAGAGAGAGACTGGCTCGTTTGGCCGTTGGTGTGGTTGTTGGGCCTGACAGCATCACGCAAAAGCATCTTCTTCGTGTTGGGTGGACGTAATCTGTGTGGTAAATGCACTTGACTGAAAACTTAGGAGTGGCTTTGCCTTGCATAGAAATTTGACCGAGCGGGGCGGGTCCAAAAATTCCTAGATCGGGAAGCGGAGCAGAACGATGGTGACCATAACGGTTATTTCTGGCCTATTTGTCGTCATCACAACAACCATAGCCCAGCGCTCGAACTTGGCTCGTTGGACGTTCTTGGGACGCTCACCGATTGCGTGATGGGACGGACGCTTCCCTTTGTGCCTAGCTTATTATAGGCAGAAATATATTACCGAGCAAGACTGCAATGGACATTTCTGGCTTATTAGCCGTCATCAGCCAGCCATACCCAACCCCAGAGGTGGCAAACTCCGAGACTAGAAAAGGGGACCTTGTTAGTCATAAGTCCAACGTCCTAACCACTGTGCCACCACAGGCTCGTTACCTTACCAGTTTTGATCGGTAAGGTAAACAGGTGCCCACAGATCAGTTAGGGGATTCCCACGCCTCGTTCTCGAGTCCCCGCCAGCAGCCGCACGGCGGCTAGTGGCATAGGATAGCTGATGACCGCTAATTAGTCGGAAATGGCCATTCCAGTCTCCCTCGTCTCTGTCCTAAAGGCTATTCTGCAGTACTACCGCTACGTGACCACCCCCAAAGACTACAACTCACGGCTCCTCGGTAAAATGGAATGCTGCTATGCCATGTGCTACATTAAGGATAGGTCAGTGAGCGTCACTCCTACGGGACTTTGCATATTTGTAGTGACTGGCTCCACACAAAATGCATTTGTGAACGCTTGTCGTGACTAACTCAATTCGAACGCACACTGGTGAGCCCTTGCTGCTTCCGGCCTTTGGAACCACAGGCCGACGACTGCCGGGCAGACGTCACTTCAGACGCCATCCGCTGGTTGTGCGGTCGTCTGACAGTCAACTTCCTCTTGCCTACTTTCCGCTTCCTTCTGTACACAATAAACTCTTCCTTCCACTCTGGCGTTCCTTTGACTCCTCTTCTCCTAAAAATCCGGGCCTTAAGATTGCATTCGGTAGGGTTAACGCCCTGCGATATTGATGACTGCTCGACGTGACCTGAACTCGCAACTTCCGATCTGGCCTGCTGCCCTACGATATATTCTTGATGATCGCAGCCAAAAGTTGGAGCGGTGGTGCAGTTGTCAAAAGAGTCCGGACGCAATCCTCGGGCATGCCCGGCCTTCAGTGGAGCTTACCGATGTTAGTCAAACCGATAATACTTGTCAATAAATTCTGTTAGTCGTAGACACATACACCTATGAGCCCGACCCATGGATATCAGTTCAGGAAGCCGTGTGTGTGTGTGATTCAATTTTTTCAGAAGCTTTACAATAAATATCAGAGGAATCATCTGCAATCAAAGAAGCACCATCTATGCACGTCAGAGGACAGTGCATACGCGAGAGGAGTCCGTCGTCCATCAAGACAGCAATTTCATGTCACGCAATGGTGTCTAACTGCGATCAGATATCGCAGCCCATACTAGCATCAACAGAAGCAAGACCGTGCTCCTACTGTTCGGTAGCCGCGATCCAACGCCCTGTCGACACTTGAGCAGATCGTAACGACTTGGCTTGCCCAGGAGCTTCAGTTCATACTCGCGTTCCATCGTCTCACCATCGAAGAACCAAGAGAGGTCGTTGAAGGGGTACTCAAAGCCCTGACGGCACATGCACTTGTAGCTGCCGCTGCGGAACCGTCGGCCCGGAATGGGTTCACACTAGAGAGAAGCAAAGAAAGAAAGAAAGGTTGACTGGAGTGATTAACAAAACTGAGAGG